ATATGTATATATGAAAAATATACCAAAATGCATGTGGGTACTCAAATGAAAGCTCTTGATGAGTGTAACATCGGGATGAGCTTATATCTTTAAAAACGTCAATAGTTAAAAAAATACAGTGCTATTGAACAAAAGTCATTATTTAATAAAGCAAAATTTTATTAATTTATAGTTTACAAGTCACGGTAGTCACATAGTGACTGCGAGGTTGCTAGTTATTATTATAATTATGATTATTATTACAATTTTTTTTTTTTAATTCAAAGACGGTATTAATTTTAATTATTTTCAAAGGATGAATCTACTGGAGATGGTGATGGACAATATCATGCAGTTGAATTAACTCGAGGAACACGTGGCTTTGGATTTAGCATACGAGGAGGACGTGAGTTTCAGAATATGCCTCTATTCGTACTCCAGATTGCAGATAATGGTCCAGCAGCTATTGATAATCGATTAAGAGTAAGTAATAAATATAAGATAAAAATGAATGTTAGTTAGATTATTAAATACAGTGAGTTGATTGATTTTATTAATATTATTTGCAGGTTGGAGATCAAATAATTGAAATAAATGGAATTAATACGAAGAACATGACGCATGCGGAAGCTATTGAAATAATTCGCAATGGTGGTCCATCAGTAAGACTTTTAGTACGTCGTGGGTGTCAAATGCCGAGTGCGGTAGGTGCTCCACCTCACCTCTATGACATGAATATTTAATTAATTGAATATTATTAATTATTAATTTAATAACAAATTAACGGATGTTTATTAATATTAATTGAAGATAAAAGATAATATTAACAGCATCATTTATGTTTTAAGACTAACGCTAAAGATTAGTTTGAGGTAAATTAATTTATGAGCTTTAGTATCTAACAGCAATTATAATAATTATTAAAAATTTATATCGGAGTGATAATCCGATAAAACAATCAATTGATATATCGATGGACGCATAGATTTTTTTAACTATTTTTTTTTTATATAGAATTTTGACTATTGAAAAATATTTTTTATGAAAAAAAAGACTTTACAAATTTAAAGTTTTTGACAATTGTTTGATGCAATTGGTGCTAGCGTATTATTTTTTTTTTTTTAATGATGAAGAATTGATAGCTGAAATCTGCCTTAACAAATGTGTGATTAAAAGATATAACTTTTATTTTTGTTTTGTTTATAATTATAATTATAAAACTAACAAGTGTTTAATATTTGTCTTAAAAATTAAAAAAAAAAAAAGTTTTATATCTTGTGATTTATTGATGTCATCTGTTTAACTCACGAGTGCTGATCGTTTGAGTAAAATGAATTTAGCAAATTGTATTTATTTAACGAATTCATTATAGAATAGTGTTACATTTGATGAAATAAGCAATCAAGTTATTGACGATGATGACACCTTAAGAAATTCCGAGATAATTTATCATACAAAGCGTACGAAAAAACGAAAGTTCTTCATTCCACTCTGCTGCTGTTCCTCGAGAAAACGGCAATGATTTGAGTATATGGAAAAAAGTAAACTGTAATAAATAATTAATAATTTTGACTTTGATATTTATCATTTCGTACTAAAAAAAAAAGGCGATTTTTGGGAAGTAAAATGAAAAAAACTTCTGTATGAATTGTTTTAAAATTTTAAGGGTATATTGATACATATTTAAAGAATATACAGTAAAATTTTTGAAGAAAAAAATTAAATATTTTCTGAGTTACACGCGATCTCCGACGGCGCTAAAAAAAAAGTTTCTCCACTGTTGGAGTGATTCTGGCCTTCTCTATGGATGAAACCGAAAAAAAAATTCTCGTTAAACTAGAAGATATTGTCCGTACAATGACTCTCGGTCGAAAAAAATATCAAAAATTGACAAAATGACGGCGTTTTAAAAAAAAAAGTTGAATTTTACCCAAAATTTTGGTTGTTTTTGGCCTGCCAAAATTCGATTTTTGATCAGATCAAAAAACTGGAGGGTCATTGTATGGAGAATTATATACAGAATATTCACAAAAAAAAATTGGTAGTGATCGGATCATTTGTCTTTGAGTAATCACACCAACAAATTTGAAAAATGCTTTAAACCTTTCGAAATATGAAAAAAAAAAAATCGATTTTTTATAAATTTCACACTGATTGTGCCCCTTAAGTTTTGTATCATATATATTCGTCCCACCCCAATGTCCGCTGTACTGTTTAAAACTAAAAAAATTAATCAGAATTCGAGTGAATTTTACAGTTTACTTTTTTACGTGTATTGTTCTTTTTGACATTTTTTTTACTCGTCTTTTTATATACATTTATACTTGTACTCAGTAGAAGAAATTATTAATTAATTAGTTGATTAAAAGAAGATGATTAAAAGACCATTGTGCCTCTATCTGTATTAATAAAAAAAAACAACTTTGCACAGATCTGAATTGATTTTATAAGACTACTTAAGCTCGAAGAAAAAAATTATCATAATTGTAATAGTTAATTCATTAATTGCAATAAATTAATAATTATTTTTTATTAAGAAGAAACGATAAAACTCTGAATGTTTTATTGAAAAGTAAGCAGGGTCGAAGTAATAAAAACGTAGCTTTCAATATGTACATTATGCATTTATAAATATCATAATCGTTATTTCTATGTAACAAATTGTATAATCGATCAGGAATTTACTGACATTTTTTAATAGTTATTATTGATAATAACTTGTCGGCTCAATGTTTGTTTTTGCCTTCACATGAAAGTATAGTATCAATTAATAAGTTTTTTTTTTTGTTTATTTTTTTTTTAAATAAGTTTGTTATCCAACCAAAGAACAATTGTCTTCAATAGCGCAATGAATTTTTTGACATTGATCTGAAAGTAGAACAAATAAATAAATTTTCTAAAATATAATGAATTTATAATAATGGATAGTCAGTTTAAAGAAAGCTGTACATGCGTTTTAAAATATATTTTTTTACCCTTAGATTATTGTAATACTCATTTATAAAATTCAAAATATATATAAATTGATATTTTTTATTAATCAAAAATACAAATGAATAATTTAAATTATTCAAAAATTACAAAATCATTCATTTACTTACATTTTTTATATTCGAACAAAAAATGACATGTATTCTTTAAATAATTATTTAGAAATAAATAATGGTGATTATTTTTTATAACTTAATTAATAAGCTACATTTCTGATTGATAATGTGCCTCTTCGAATAAATATTTTATATTATTATTGTAAAATAATGTTATTACAAACAAAAAAATTTCGTGAAACATAAACTGAATTATAAACTGATGAAAGTAATATACATAGAAACTATTAAATTTTTTAAACTAGATATTCAAATTTCTGCACTTTGCCGTGTCTTCCACTTATTTCATTAACATCCCTTGATCTTCTACAATCATATCTATATATAATATATAATAGTATAAATTTTTTCAATACATAAAAGTTGACATTTTATTAATTAAAAGTGTATTTATTGTAATAATAATAATTAATTATGAATGAATTGTACATTGTGTGATAGACGGCAAGTGTTTTTTACAAATATCATCATTATACTATAATTATTTGAACATATTGTTATTATAATCATGTAATACAATATTATATTGTTGTTAAATTTATATTAAAAACAAAATAACAATAAACATTTGCATTTACAATCTTAATATTTTTATTTTCTTTAAAGTGTCATCTTACTTTTATTTACCAAGCAATCTTGTCTGTTATTCTTGTCTTTTAAATTTATGAAAATTAAGTTAGCCGACATTTAAAAATTTTTAGAATTTTTTTTATTGAAAAAATCTTTACCAAAAAAATTTCATTTGTAAAAAATTTAAAAAAGTGCAATTAAAAAAAATTTTTTTTAGTTCTAATTTAATAAATAAAAAAAAAATAAATTAAAAGGTCAAAAAAAAAACGTCGGCTAATTTTAGTATTATAAAATTAATTTAGCAGATATTTGATAATTTTTAGAATTTTTGTAACAAATAAATTATGAAAAAAAATTGACATTTAGAAATTTTAATAAATTAAAGATACAATTTTTTAAAAATAATTTTCTAGAACTAATTTGTTAAATAAAATTAAAAAATGGTCAAACTATCTTTAATGACATTTCAAATTTCACAATACTAAAGTTAGCTGATGTTTGTAATTTTTTTTTTTCCATTTTTTAAATTGGAACAAAAAAAATATTTTTTAAAAATTGCACTTCAAGTTATTCAAGGTTTTACAAAATAAATTTTTTTTTCTTATTTTTCTATAATAATTTTTTCAATAAAAAAAATTATAAAAATTTTTAGATGTCGGCTAACTTAATTTTCATTCAAATTTTTCTTTACTCACTTGAAGTTGACAGCTGTTAAAATTTATTATAGTTTTATAGCAATGAAATTATTATGAAGAAAATTTCACATGTAAAAAAAAAATTATTAGTGAAAAATTATTAAAAGAATTTTTTTTAATATATAATTGATTGTTCTAAAAATTTAAAAAAAATTGACAGCTGTCAGCTAACTTCAGTATCATTTGAAGTTCGCCATTAACAGGTAATCAGCTCCCCCCAAAATTAGTGTCAAATTTAATCCACCAGATGGCGGAGGTTAAACTTTCTAAATCCAAGAGAGTGTATTGGTTTCCAAGAAAACCGACTGAAACGTCGACCAATGACGTCAACATTTCCCAACATTCTAACAAAATACAAGCATAAGTAATAATTATCCAATGATGCATAAAAAATAAACCGTTGGTGGCTGGTTACTCAGAGCAATTAAAAAACCAGTTTTGACTAAAAAATTCCAGGTAATTACCCTGCATATTTTTAATAAAATGGGATAAACCAGACAAAACAACAAACGTTGTTGTTGGCAGAACTGTAAATTTATTGAACATATATTCTCAGTAGTGAGTAGAGCATAGTATATACCATAGGTGATATATTTATAGCTGGTAGATTTACAGTGGTTACAGACGGAGACGTCTAATGTAAACATTATTTTTTATAATTAAACAATAAAAGCTCTAAGTGACAAAATAATAAACATAAACAATAAATAAAGAAACTTTCAGATGTGATAATGGATTAATATCATCTTTAATAACAACCAAGTGAGAGGATCCAGCGTGCTGTGTAGTGTATTGGATTTAAAAAAAGCCTGATACTCAGTCGACCTGATACATAAAAAAACAAACTGTGTAAAAAAAGTACAAGTTTGTGCGCTAGTGTTGTGCTGGTGACTGGTGAGTTCTTCCCAGTAAGATTGTGTGGGTAAAGACGGCACGAGAATTTACTGCTGGCTGCAGTTGGATGTGGACGGCGGCCTAGAATTCATGGAAGTGCAATGCGAGATGTGCTACATGAACTTGTCGTCAGAGTTGCCATTGGTATGTATTTATAAATATATATATATATATATACATACATACAAATAAACACATATGTCTTTTTTATTTTAATAACTTTATAAACAATGGTACCTTATTTAGGAATTAATAAATTTATTGATAATCCTAAGATTTAAAACCCACGCCCAAAAAAAAATCTCATCATCGTTTTCTCTAATTCTGGGAACAAAAATACTCCCATTAGGGAACAACTGATTTTTCTGAGTATCCCTATCGGCCAGTAAGCAAGCATGTATTTTTCATTTGCTGGTAAGCCATGAGGCTACAGTTGTTTTTTTATTTTTTATTTTATAACATGCATATGTGGAGATCTTTGTATTAGTACTTCGCTACTCCTACTACGCGATATGTATATATATATATACATATATATACGATTCCCGCGTACAGTCACACGCATTACGACGCAAGAGACCAGAGAAAGATTTTTATCTCGTTGTATGTATTTTTATATATAAAATACTAATAATAATAATAATATTACTATCCACTACACTGTATTTTTGCATTCGGTTTACGATGAAATGTAATAAAATCCAAAGCTACGTCACTGCATTTTATTATTATTACTCGTGCGAATTTTTTAGGTATAATTTATCCATTTAATTGCTATATATGTATATTTACGAATCACAGTGACACTTTGTAGTTTTTTTTTTGTAATTAAGGTAAATTATCTTGACTAATTTATTGCTTGTAAATTTTTTTTTTTTTTTTATATTATATGGGGCTGATACTTTGATTTTTATTTCAGGTCTGTAAATTAAAGTTTATTTTTATATTTGTGGGGTTTATTGATAAAATTTACATAAGTGTATTTTTTTATACAAGAAAATTTATTTTGAAGGAAAAGGTATGAGAAAATTTCTTAGATAAGCCATTATCGGTTTTTAAATAATATTTCAATATTAACGGAGTGTATTAATGATAAAAATTTTGTACTTCATTATTATTGTCTCAAAAGTGACGTTTAATTTATGATTTTACCTGTAAATAATTTATTTATTTATTTATCAACTTACGCCTATCGATAATATACATCAAAGAAAATATATATAAAATTAATTTAAAGAATTGATTAAAATTTAATCAGAGGAAAATTTTATAAAGTTACACACACTTGAAAAAAAATTAATTTGAATCAAGAGAAAAATTCTTGAACCAAGAAAATAATTTTGAAGAGTTTTACTGTCTTGAATCAAGAAAAATTCTTGAATTAAGTAAAATTTACTTCAACCAAGAAAAATTTTTTAATTTAAGAATTTTTCTACTCAAATCAAGATGAAATTTTTCAAAATTATTTACTTGATTCAAGTAATTTTTTTTTCACTGCATAAATTCATCACGAATACCAAAAATAAAATACTTCCCTATTGTTAATCTAATGTTTAATTATTTCATGTAATTTACTCACTATTCTGTCTTCTTTTTTTTACTTTAATCTGCTTTTATTTATTTATTTAATTTAAATGCCAATGGCAAATGGTACAAAATAGAAGTACATATCTAATTTGAATTCTGGTAGGTTAACAAATTGAGATTAGTTATTCTTATTATTAATTATTAATAAAAGGCCCTTGGCCGCTGTCTTCTCATTAATTCTTAATTTTTAGTTAAAAATTGTATTTCGATTAAATTAAAAAATTATTGTACCTAAATACACAAAATACTTTGTATCTTAAATGTAAACTTATGTGACCCCGTTATTGGCCATTGGCTGTTGGGTCTTCCCCAAAGAAAATAAAAAATAAAAATATCGACGGTCTAATTAGCAATTTGTCTAACTCCTTATTTTCTAGAGGGTGATTTTTTAACATTTTGATGTACCAATAATCCAATTATAAATAATAAGATAAATTATTAATTATAGATTATAAATTATTAGATAATAATGATATTAAATGGTTTTTTAAAGTAATAATAAATTTTGAACTAATTATTTTTTTCGTACAAATAGAAGATTCTCTAAAATGGAGTTAGACAATTTTCTAATTAGAACGTTGATATAAGAATACAAACAGATCTACATAGATAATTAACAGTATTAAGATTATGACGAATAGCACATATGCAATGTTAACAATCAAAATTTTAAATAATCTAATCAGCTGATTACAATCAATAAATGCGATGAGTAAAACTTAACAAGAATTTGAATTTTGTTTATTTAAAGTCAGACTTAAATTTAGATATAAATTTGAATTTAAAACATTATATTTTTTTACCCTCTACATATGATGTATAAAGCAAATTGGCGTCTGTTTTCTAATAAATAAATAAGCAAGTGTTTTTTAATATTTTACTTAGTTTTAAATAATTGTAATAATATTAAAAAATTTTCTGTTTTTAAAAATAGAACACTTGTATAAAAAACAAAATATTTTGCTAAGGTTTTATATAAAGAAAAGGTTAACAAATAAAAAATTTATAAAGTAGCTATTTTGGAATAAAATAAAGTTTGAAGTTTAACTAATTCAAGTATTTATCAATATTTAAAGTTTCAAACTCTGTGCGCTGCATAACTATGCAGCGTACAATCGATAAGGGGTTAAAGTAACAATAAATATACTAAAATAACTTCATTCTACAAAGTATAATACTACGTGGTTCTATAAAATTTAAATAAACTTTTTTTTTTTTACTAAACTCTGTGTAAAGTCGTTTTTGTGAAACATTTAACCGAGCACGTTAAAGCAAAATGACACAGTTTAATTTATATAATTGTAAACGTTAGAGCTAGCGTTAATTTACTATAAATAACTTCCGTAATTTATCTGATTCACTTAACCATAAAATATCCTTTTGCTAAAATACATAATTATTCATAGTAGACATTAAGTTTATTTAATAATAATGTTAATACAGCACGTGTAATTCATTTCCGTATCCAAACATATCATTTAATTTTTATCTTTAATATGATAATTATTCTATAGATAACAGGTGTTTTTCTGTGTTTTAATATTAATGAATTTTTTATTTACTGACGTTCAATTATTATTAATTAATTTGAGCGACTTAAATTAAACATATTTCTTTATTAGAAGCTGAATAAAAAATTACTTTTAGGCTGATTAAACAAAAAAAGAAACAAATTTAAATTTACTTAGTATGGAAGATGTGTAAGAAAAATAAATTTAAATGACCAGGTATAATATACATGTGCGCTTTGTATACCTGGGATATGTATATGTAAATGTATATATTTATTCCTTAAAGAACAGGATCGTTAGTATTCGTAAAAAATCTAGTATTCAATGGAAAAAAACATGTAGTGCGCTAACTAAACTTTGAAGCAATGAATAAAACAATTCCTTATTATTCTCAGTTTTATACTTAACTTAACTTAACTTAACTTAACTTGTTATTCTACATTATCTTACGTATAAATTTAACGGTTTCAGTTCAATGAATCGCTAGATTTTGAAATTATTGTTGTTAGTTTTTCTTAAAGTCTCATAAATTTAATTATAATAATTATTTCTCTGAAAAATGTATTTGTAAATTAATATCAGTAATAATTATAATAATAATGAATGGACAACATAACAATTATTTTTACATGAAAGAAAGTATTAAATGAAATGTACTTCACGATAAGTTGACCAATGATTTTGTATATTAACAGTATGTAACAGTAGTTATTCTATGTATCATGTAAGCTTTAATTTTTATCCCCCACTACTCTTAGTACAACGTCCCTGTCTTATATATTTAAGTACTCTCATCAATCTAATTCCAGTTGTTTAGACACTACTGCAACGATTATTTTTATTAATTTGCTCGTTACATTACTTAAAAATTTTTTTGTGTTTAAAAATTTTTGTGAGTGCTTCATTGATTATTTATTCAATAATTATCTAAAAACAATTAAGTTATAAAGAAAAACAATCAATCAAATTTTAAAAAACTAATTATCTATAATTTAATCATAAAAATTGTTATATTTAAAAATTTTTGTAAGTGTTAAATTAATTATTTATTCAAAAATTATTTATTAATATTTATCTAAAAAAAAAAAATTAAGTTAAAAAGAAAAACGATCAATCAAATTTTTAAATACTAATTATTTCTAATTTAATCATAAAAATTGTTATATTTAAAAATTTTTTTGTGTTGCATTGATTAATTATTCAATAATTGTCTGTCAATATTTATCTAAAAAAAAAAAAAAAATTGAGTTGAAAAGAAAAACAATCAATCAAATTTAAAAAAAACTAATTATCTATAATTTAATCACAAAAATTTATAAGGTTCCTATGTATGAAAAATTGTTTTTTAAAAATTTATCTTTAGATAAAAAAAAATGTTCTAACATTTAAATTCCATGACAAGTAAATTAGATAAAGAAAAAAAATATAAAACGTGATGTTGAAAGGTTTTTTTAGTAATATAATTTATAATCTTTCTTTAAATCTTTTTTTCAGTAATGGGAAGCTGAGTATCCCTGGCATTATGCGGCTGGGCTACCAAAAAGATGCAGTATCAGCCCTTGGATGTAAATTCTTCTGACCTGTTGAAGCATGGTCACGACCACTCGGAAAAGCATCCAATTATGAGTCACTCAGACGTGGAAATGTATAACAAACAGTTGGAAATGAATAGTCCCAGTTGTAAAGAGCTCTCTCGGCTCGACAGATCAGTGAACGATCATCCGCTGAACAATAATAACACCAACAATAATGACAGTATAAATAAACATTGCGACGTTAATTCACGCTATTTAAATAATTATAAAACTGATAATATTAATAACAACAATTGTAATGCGACTGAACAATCACGGTTTTTTGTGTGCGATAAAAGTTATAGAAGACACTTATCTACGAGTGATTGTGTGTTAAACAGCGATTGTGTCTCCGCAATTGAACGTTTAAAATCTACTAAACAAATTATGACAAACTCTCGACCAATATCACCAACAAAAGATTGTCGATCGAGTTATTGTTACAATAATTATAATTATACCTATAATAATAATATTAATAATAATAGCACTAGTGATACTCCGTATAATTGTTATCGTCGTAAAAGTCAATTTAAATGGCTTTTACACGCTTTTATTTTACTTTTCATCGGATTAATTTCCACGAGTTCGGCAGATCGATGTGCTCTCGGTCTCGACACACCTGGACGTGAGTACATTTATTTTATTTTGATTTTTTCTTTATCTTATTATTATATTTATTTATAAGAATTCATTTACTAATTCAAACTCAAGCCTTTCGCAATAATTCTGTTAATTAAAAATTAACACGAATGATAACGTTATCAATAAAGATTATCAATTTATTTATATTTTACATGTTGTAATATTAAATATTTATAAATAAATAAATCTCAGTGTAATAATTTTATTTATTATTATTATTAATGATAATGAGATCAGCAGGCGCCAGAAATTTTTTTTAATTCATTCATTAATAAAATTGTAACTAAAATTTTTTTAAATCTTTGAAATGTAGAATTTTTATTTTAATTTAAAAAAAAAATTATCAGATGTCTGCTAATTTAATTATTATTATTATTATAAATTTAAATAAATGTGTTGAATTTTTGTTAATGCAATTATTAAAGGCTCAAATTACAAACTTTAATTAGTTTTAATAATAACAATAATAATTGTAAGTTGAAAAATTTTTCAAGGCGTTAAATTAGCTTACTAGACATAAATTAAAAATAAAATAAGTTTTATCTTTCATTTTTGAATTCTGGTGACGGGTTAAATATCTATATTTATACATTTATACATATATGTGCGCTCATATATCCAACGCGAATGAACTGCAGAGTTACGATGAAAAATACCGCGGTAACTTTAAGTAATTGGATTATTACGTATAATTGTACAAAAGCCTGTCAATTGAATGGCAATAAAATAAAAGATAGATAAGTATTTTTTTTTACGAAATTAAAATGAGCCGTCAGTCACTTGACAATTTTTTAATTTTTTTAGAAAAACAAATTTGTTCAAAAAAATTATTTTTTAAAAATTGTATTTTTCATTTTTTAAAATTTCTTGTCAATTTTTTTTAACAAATAAATTTGTTCCATAAAATTATTTTAAAAAAATTGCATTTTTCATTTTTTAAAATTTCTACAAGTCAATTTTTTTTTCTAATTTTTTTGACATAATTTATTTATTATAAAAAATTTTTAAATATGCTAAATTAATTTGAATATTTTTTTTTTATTGTTATTATTTATATTTATTTTATAAATATAAATATGTACATATAGTATATAATTAAAAATTGTAAAATATGCTACTGCACGTGTATTACAGAATAAATAATATGTACGTGTATGTTTATGGAATAATTATATTTATAAAGTAAATAAATGTGTGTGTTATTATAGGAACTTGGCCTACGAATGATATTATTTTGGAGTACGGCCAATCCTTGAGAATTCTCTGTATACTGAATCAGACGATTGTCGACAAGGAGTTCCCTGGTAAAAATGCATCGAACTTGTCTTTCTACAGAAATGACAAAAAAATGGAACGAGAGTACATTCGTATTATCAACTCAACTACTATTGAAATGTTTGTCGAAAAACCGCCACCTTCCCACGACATGTATCATTGTAAATTACAGACCAGCGAATCTATCAAAGATGATGTCGCTGTTTGTCTCAATAATGTCGCCGTCGGTTGTAAGTTATCTTATTAATGTTTATATTTTTTTTACTATAAGATTATTATTATTATTATTATTATTATTATTATTATTCAATAATTCAATGAATGCCGTGCGTAAATCGTTTATATTTTTATCAGTAGGTCACAATACGAGGTCTTTTTAAAAGTTAAATAAAATTTATTCACGTGTTTTCACCACACGGATCTGTTAAACACTTAACTCGGCATCTCCATTACAATCAACCTTTTCAATCTTATATATTATGCTTTTCAATATAACTAAACCGTTATCGTAACTTATTTATTTACGCCGGTCAAAAGTCATCTCATGGGAAAAATACATATACGTGATTCATGCCGTCACATAATTATTATTTTTAACTATTTATATTTTTTTCGCTAGATTTTTTATCCGCTATCGGCTCATAGAACTCATTATTTTTATGTATATAATTAAACTAATAAATTTTCTTTATCTTTTATTTAATACTATCTAGCAGTAATTAAAATATTTTTTTTTATTAAATAGATAAATCTATATTATTGGGAGAATAAGCAAAATTTTGTGGCCATTATATATTTATATGATAAAATCGGTTTTTTTAAATGAAATTTAGTGTCATTGCAAAGCTCTATATTATTGACATATAATGTTGACATTTAAGCTCTATAATAATGACATTTTTAAAGATATAAGCTCATCCTGATGTAACACTTATCGAGACCTTTCATTTGAGTACCCACATCGATTTTTCATATATTTATATATAATGTATGTATGTATATATGAAAAATATATCAAAAATTCATGTGGGTACTCAAATGAAAGCTCTTTATGAGTGTAACATCGGGATGAGCTTATATCTTTAAAAAGGTCAATATTTAAGCAAGTATAGTACAATTTTATAAATATCTTGTAAAATATTGACCTTTTTAAAGATGTAAGCTCATCTCGACATTACACTCATAGAGACCTTTCATTTGAGTACCCACATCACTTTTTCATATATTTATATATATATTATATATATGTATATGTGAAAAATATATCAAGTGCATGTGGGTACTCAAATGAAAGCTCTTGATGAGTGTAACATCAGGATGAGCTTATATCTTTAAAAACGTCAATAGTTAAAAAAAGTACAGTGCAATTTAACAATAGTCATTATTTAATAAAGCAAAATTTTATTTATTTATAGTTCACAAGTCACGGCAGTCACATAGTGATTGCAAAGTTGCTAGCATTAATTACTTTATTTATTTATTTATAATTAATAAATAATTTTATTTTTACAGTTAAACCAGAGGAGCCGAAAAATTTCAGCTGCATCTCGCACAATTGGGAAAACTTGACCTGTACATGGGTCCCAGTAGATAACTTTATCAAGACCACCCACACGCTTACTTTCATGTCATCTCGCAAACTTTTCCCTTGTCCTAAGCACGAAAAAGAAAAGAAACTACCTCTAAATTCTTGTCTCTGGGATTTTTCAACAGATCCTATTTATCGTCAGACTTTGGAAAATTATACTTTCTTGATGACAGTCAGAAATGCATTGGGAAATATGACAAGACAATATAAATTCCAGCATTTTGCTAACAGTTAGTGTCCTTAATAATTCATTTATTTTATAAGTCCATTAAATTAAATTTAAAGTGTAATAAACAATAATAAAATTAATTATTATTATTTTAGCAATACCAGCCAAGCCGGACAATTTAACGGTAGTAAATAAAACAACAGAAAGCGCATTACTGTACTGGGCAGTACCTTTTCCAATGCAAAACTTTCCACCAGGTTTACATCACAAAATAGCTTATCAACATCAGTGGGATCGGCTCAAAACATGGCAGGTAATGTAAATTATTTATTTACATTTTTTGACTTGAATTCATCAATCAGATGTCACAAATATAAATAATTCATTTTTGATATATATAAAAGGCCACTCAGTAGCCGAAATTAAAAAAATTTTCTCGTCTAAATTTTTTTATTAGACAATTAAGTAGATTATCACTATTACGTTGGCGGCAATTGATTCTTAATAACAGATATCAGGATTGATAAAATAATCAATATTATTAAGAGAGTAAGAAAAATTTTGTGGCCAGAACATAATTAAGAAATCACCTTATATCTCGTGTAATATTGACGTTCTTAAAGATATAAGCTCATCCCAATGTTAAACTCATAGAGACCTTTCATTTGAGTACCCACATCACTTTTTCATATATTTATATATATTATATGTATATATGAAAAATATATCAAAAGTGTATGTGGGTACTCAAATGAAAGCTCTTGATGAGTGTAACATCAGAATGAGCTTATATCTTTAAAAAGGTGAATAGTTAAGAAAGTACAATGCAATTTAATAAATATCTTGTGAACTATTGACATTTTTAAAGATATAAGCTCATCCTGATTGAACACTTATCGAGACCTTTCATTTGAATACCTACATCAATTTTTCATATATTTATATATATTACATATATGTATATATGAAAAATATATCAAAAATGCATGTGGGTACTCAAATGAAAGCTCTCGACGAGTGTAACATCGGGATGAGCTTATATCTTTAAAAACGTCAATATTGACGAAAGTACAGTACAATTGAACAAAATTCATTATTCAATAAAGCAAAATTTTATTTATTTATATTTCACGAATCCCGGCAGTCCCATAGTGACTGCAAGGCTGCTAGCTTCTATGAATTAAATATATAATAATGATTGTACTGACTTCCTGCAAAGCTTTTCTTTGATAGATTTATTTTTAAAGTGATAATGATAAGGATAGAAAAATATTTGATATGTTTACAGTGACGTAGGCGTTTGTAGGAAATAAAAATTTTATAAATAGATTTAACTATCAACAATCTAATTATTATCATTTTTCAGATAATTAACATTACTAATGGCCTACACGAAGATAAAAAATTCTACAATTTAACGGGATTGGAATACGCCAATACTGTTTATGACGTGAGAGTATTTATGAAGAGCGCTATTGCCAAAGGCGATGATAAATGGAGTCCATTCAGCGATATTACATTTCGTACACCACCTAGATGTGAGTATCGTTTTGTTGTTTGTCTTATGTTCATTTTATTGATAGTGAATTGTAATACTAATATCTAATAACAATGATTAATTAGTGCCTGGACGATTGCCGCGTACGGATATCGGAAGTTTTGAAATAACAGAGAACAACGCAAACAAAGTTCTTTATTTATACTGGCAAGTTATACCCCGTTATTTAGAGAACGGAGATAATTTCAAGTATCAAGTTACTTTGACAGAAGTAAACGGCCGTAAGACTCATATTATGCCCAATGAAACTACGCGCTCTTACGCTGTTTTCAAAGGTTTCGATTTCTTTAACTATACTTTCCAAGTTACTACTTCTAACATCGTGGGTACTTATCCCAAAAGTACTAGCATTCATGTACCCAGTCAGTATGACAGTGAGTATTTTTTTTTCTTATCAAACATTAAATAATTTAAAAATGAAAAATTGATCAAAGTCTTGATGTTAATTAATTAATTTTTTTTTTTTTAAATATTTTCAGTGCCTCAACAACCTTTGGCGGTTACAAAGATAGCGTTTGATGAAGGATTATACGAATTGTCATGGAAATCACCATTACTGAGCAATCAAATAATTAATTACACTATATTTTGGTGTGAAAATGAACGTGATCGCCCTTATCAGTGTACTGTAAGTAAAAAATGAATTTACTTTTTATTAAGAAAAAAATTTGGTAATTATTTACAAGTGAGGTCAACCCTATTTTTGGTCATATCGAGGTGAAAAATTAACATTTGTTAATTTTTTTTTTTATTATGTTTGTTTTTACGGCGCATTTATGATAAAAAAATCGTGAATGAAAAAAAATAAAGATTTCGATAGATTTCTTGCCTTTAAAAGTTGGAAAAAATTTTGGCTCTTATGTTTTTGGATAAAATTTTTATTTTATCTTTTTTTGATATATTTTTTTTAAAGTACATAAAAAAACGAACAATTTAAAAAAAAAAAGTTTAATACAATTCTTTAAAAAATTTCTAAATTTTTTTGAAAATTTGTTAATCTTGTGATAATGAACTTTTTTTTTTTTTGATCGTTCATTTTTTTTATATATTTAAAAAAAAATATATCACGACGATCTAATTAGCAATTGGTCTAACTCCTTATCTTTTAGAGGGTGATTTTTTTTAATATTTTAATGTCGCAGTAGTCTAATTTTTAGAATTAGAATATAATTTTATTCGTATCACTATATTCAGTGTTTTATAAAACTGCTACCATTTTACATTTATAATAATTATTTTTTAACCCTTTTCTTTAGTACACTCTTACTTTCTTATAAGTACACACCATTCTCTACAAAATACACTTAATTTTATTGCGTCCTCTTAACTTAGTTTTCTTTAATTTAATCTAAAATATCACACACTCTTTACAGCTTTTATAACAAACAATAATTTTTATGCCACACAAAATTACTAGTTTTACATTTCTGTCTAACTCTTATGTTTATTTTTTAGTATACATTATATGTTCGCAGCGTCTTGAGAATTTTTGTTATTTATTAGCAATAGTCTAATTATAAATTTTGAACTAATTGTTTTTTTTTTTTTTTGTACAAATGGAAGATTCTCTAAAATGGAGTTAGACAATTTGCTAATTAGAGCGTCGATCAATAAAAAATCAAATAGAAATTTCGTTCAAAAAAATTGAAAATAAAAATAGTGAACCCCATTTTTAAATAATTATCAACAATTTCAATTATTAAATTTGAAAATAATTTAAATAAAAAGTTTTTTTTTAACCAGGGATATCTCGACTGGGTTCACGTTCCCAAGAACACAACAATCTACAACATAACAGTTCCGTCTCCCGAGAAAGTGTACCAATTCGCGGTGTCAGCAAACACAGAAAAAGCCAGCTGCCACACAAAATTACTAGTTTTACTATTTCTGTCTAACTCTTATGTTTATTTTTTAGTATACATTATATGTTCGCAGCGTCTTGAGAATTTTTGTTATTTATTAGCAATAGTCTAATTATAAATTTTGAACTAATTGTTTTTTTTTTTTTGTACAAATGGAAGATTCTCTAAAATGGAGTTAGACAATTTGCTAATTAGAGCGTCGATCAATAAAAAATCAAATAGAAATTTCGTTCAAAAAAATTGAAAATAAAAATAGTGAACCCCATTTTTAAATAATTATCAACAATTTCAATTATTAAATTTGAAAATAATTTAAATAAAAATTTTTTTTTAACCAGGGATATCTCGACTGGGTTCACGTTCCCAAGAACACAACAATCTACAACATAACAGTTCCGTCTCCCGAGAAAGTGTACCAATTCGCGGTGTCAGCAAACACAGAAAAAGCCAGCAGTGGAATGGTCTGGGCTTCATGCACCGTAATCCACAACAAAGTGTCCAGCAAAATGAAGTCAGTATGGATAAACACCATCGGCTCGGACGTAATCGACGTGGGATGGAAGTTGGACTGTTCCGACCGTATCGGAGTAGTGGAAGGCTTCGTGATCTATTACTGTCCAATTGTATCCCCCAAGAACTCAACTTGCCGAGAGCCCAAGCAGAACACCACCATCCGAGCAGACCCCCTGATGATGCGCAGTACAGTCACCGGATTGAAGCCCTACACCACTTACAAGATAACAATAGCTTTTTGGACGAAGACCGGCGAGGGTCTGGAGAGCGAGCCGCTGTACAACACCACTCTCGAGAGCGCTCCCACGGCTCCTCAGAACGTAAAAGTAATTTCCATCACCAACAGCTCCCTGTTTGTAACTTGGGACCCACCCTCTGCGATGAACGGCGTTCTTCTTTACTACGAAGTCCACTTCAACGGAAACACTCAGAAGGTTGAAGATTCAACCACCAACGTCCTGCTTAAAGACTTAATGTCTTACAAGAATTACACAATCACAGTCACCGCTTGCACCGTTAAGTGCAGCGTCGAATCCCGTCCAATCATAGCCTTGACAAAAATAGGAGTCCCTGGAAAAATAAACCGTCCACCTATCGTAAAGATCCAGGACTCTAACTTTGCAATCGTCATTTGGAGCAGGCCCCAAAATCCTGGAGGCAGAGTCGACTATTATCAAGTCTCCGCTCCAGGGTACATTGTAATCAACAGCAACGGCACCGAAACAAAAATACCGATTCCCGGGTGCGTGGAAAATGAACGCGACACCACTTATAGATTCAAAGTCCGTGCTATCAATATTAACACCGACGGCGAGCATCTAGCTGGACCTTGGTCAGACATCGGAGAGACCAGTTGCTGGAACGCTGGAATTTCTCCTCGAGTGTACATCATCATCTGGGTAATTTGCGGAATCTTCGCGCTTTTAGTCATAGCTGCAACATTTATATACACCAAAAAAATGTGGCGCAGGTGCAAACTCATGCAAGATTGCGAAGTGAAACTCCCTCCAGGTCTCGCTGCTGAGAAATTACTCCAGAAGCCCGGTGAGCAGCACATCAGACAGTCCTCAGCGGACTCCAGCGGGTGTTCCAGCGTCCAGGAATCCGTCACGTCTTCGCTTACTTCAAATTCCCACGTGTCAAATGACAGCGGGACGGAAACAGATCCGGTTTCTAGCTTACAGAATAAGTTATTGGACACTACTCTCGTGTGGGAGTCCTCGAGTCTGCGTCAGCGGAATGTCAGCGGCGGAACCACCCGACCTGGTCCGGGAGCTTTGACTGAGGCGAGATGGGACTCGTATGTAAAGGCTGGAAAGCCTGGAGAAAGAGAGTCGATAGAAAGGGAAGATACAATGTCAATTGCACGCTCTACGCCTAATTTGAGAATCGAGGATAGTGTCTGCAATGTTCCTCCCCAGACTTGGTCGTCCACTGGGTACATCAGCATGCCGTCTTCCGAGGATGTTTCGACGACAAACTCCAGCCCGGTTTCGGTTAAGGCTTCTAATATCAGCAGCTACAGTGTTGTTGGGCTTCTGCCGACCAAGATGTCGCCCACCAGGTCTAAAAGCAGCGAAGACACCTCGGAGGAAGCTAAGGCTAATATTCCGTATGTCAGCTTAGCTTCTTTGGATCACAAGCTTACTTTTATCTCTCCGATTTCTAAAGAGCCGCTCAAGTCTGTTGAGAGCAGCAAGCCGTACGTCCAAACTGGGCTGATAGACAATTTAAAGAACCCGCCGTTCACCCAGAGTGAGTTTGGCTCCAAGTTTGTTCCCAAGCCGGTAGATCGTGACTCCTCGATGAAGTACGTCACTGTTGCGTCCATCGCAGAGATGACTAAGCCTGCTAAAGACAAACTTGTTCAGAGCACCACGGATGCGTCCCAAAAGCCCTATGTGCAAGCCTCCACGATGTTCCAGATGCTCCAGGCTGGCTCGCAAGAGAAGAAACACGAGCCTATGTACTGGGAATCTGGGGGAGATGGGGACTCCAAGACTGTTGATGTTGTTGAGATTGAACAGTCTGAGAGGAGTCGGACTCCTCAAGTGTCCAGCAGCGGGGATAGCCAGCATATTTTAGACTGATGAAAATAGCGGGAGTAAGCTAATTTATAATATTGTTTTTTTTTTTTTTTTTTTTTCTTATATTGTTTTCTCTTATGTTCTTTAATTGTTCTGTTCTGTTTGTTTATCGTGTCGGTGGATGGAATTACGGGAAGCTTATCTGTGAATTATTTGGTAATTGTAAGTACTATATTTCACTGATACCTTTTGTTATCCAGATCGAGGTTAACTGTACTCTTGTCCATGATATTGATATTAATTGTAAAGATATCATATTACCTGGTATTATGCGGGTTTTTTAAGGCATTCTTAGATCTACTTGCTGTTTTCTTTATTAATATGACAATTCTGAGTAATTTATTTAGAAAAAAAATTTTAAAGAGTCTAAAAAAATAGCGCATTAATTACCAGATTTTTTTTTTTTTTGATAAATTAACGATTAATAATAATGGACCGTATTTTTTTACGAATGATTTGTTATCGACTGTTCAATAGTAATTTTAAAGAAATTAAAAATTTATTTAAGGTAAAAGACCCGATTACTGACACTTTCTTTGATTTTGGTACTTATTCAATTAATGAAATTATTAATTTCAATAATAAAAATGCGTATAATAAAAATTCTATTTTTTTTTTCTAAGTCCAAAAAAAATTTTTAGTTTGAAGAATTTTTTTTTTGCATTTCTGCACGTTTCATGTAAAAAAAGATTGATTTGCGAAAAAAAATTTTTTTCAAACTTAAAATTTTTTTGGTGTTAGAAAAAAAAATAGAATTTTTATTATACGCCCTTATGTTAAGTAAAGTAAAAGACCCAGTTATTGACACTGGCCTAGTTAGACACTTGCAATTTTGTTCCAATTAAAAAAATAAAAAAATTCTCAAAAACCTAATTATTTAAAAATTTATAATTTACAATTTGTAATTATTAATTAATTAGAGTTGGCTTTTTTTTAGTTAAAATAAAATTATACGTGTCAATAATTAGGCCAGTGTCAATAATTGAGTCTTTTATTTTAGAATATTTTTTCATTGAAAGAAAAAGTACCACTAATGGGGTCTTTTACCTTACTGGACTAGAGTACTGCTCAGCACTTATCTGTAAAAGTATGTACAAAATACTTTTTATAAACATATATAAATATAAATATATTAAATTATAAATTTTTTTGAAAATAACGAACAATCAAGTAAGTTATAGGCCATAAGAATATAATGGTGGTTTAAATTTAGGTGGTAATTAAAATTAAATATATCTATCATATCATTATTATTATTATATGTCATACATTCATTTAAAAAAGATCATGCTTTTGTTACAATCAATTTATTCATATAATTCGGCATGTCACGGTGTAAATATATGCATGACTAACATTTTATCATTTATCGGATAAAATATTAATATTAATATTAACATAAACAGTTCATAATAAAAATAAGATAACAATAGCAAGTAAATATGCCATGTAAGTTAGACAGGATTTAATGACGGATCATATTGAGCAACCAATAGTATAATTATTTTTATTACGTTATTATGTAATTGGATATTGAATTTTTCATTGCCATTTGACGTATTTACTGATAAAATATTTTTTTAAATTAATAAATAAATAATGGGAATTATTAATAATAGAAAATATGTTTTATGCATAATATCTCTGAGCTAGTCATTGAGGTACATCAGTCGACAATTACTTTTTTGTGTTAAACAGTACATGCATAAATTATAATCATGTGAAACTGTAGTAAATAATTATTTTTTTTTTTTTTTCCCCGTGAAACTTTATTAATATTTATTTATTAAACAGTCAGACTGGTGAAATTCCCTCAAGTTACTAATTTTTTGTCACACTTCATTTATTTTTGGCCTGAGATTTGAATTTTCTGAAAAAATCTTTCACTTTTTTAATTGTTAAATTGAAATTTTGTAACAACGTTCGGTAAAAAAATTTGAATATTCTAAATGGTCGTTTCTATATCTCAAAATTTATTTATCTTATTTTATTTAATCGCAGATAAATATACTAATTGTTGTATAATGCTGATTGGTGTTTAAATAAATAAATAAATAATTAAATAAATTGTAAAAAAAGTGGAGGGTCTTAAAACAGTTTAAAATAAAAAAAAATTGACGAATCTCTAATTAAAAATAAATATAATCGATCAAATTTAATAATAAATTACTTGATTGCAACTATAACAATTTTACGAAATTTAAGTTCGATTTATAAGAAAAGAAAAAAGATCAAATTAATCGTGTATATTTTGATTTAAAAATAAAAATTATTGAGGATATAAAAAAATTTATAATTTAATAATAAAAAGGAAAAAAAAGTGCCTAGATATTTTATGCGATTGTAATTGATAAAATATGTTACATGACAAAATTTTACAATTAAAAACATGTGTCTATATATAAATACGCTGCGTAAATAGTTTTGGTGACTAAAATTACATTTATTAATTTTTTATACAGAAAAATAAAATTTATAAATTTAGCTTTGCGTAAATTTAAGTCTTACAGAGTAATTAAGATATAAAAATGCATAAATGGATTTAATTGTGCCTATTAGTAGTGATAAAAATAATAATTCAATTTGATGTTTAAAAATTTATTATAAAACACATATAATAAGTTTTATAGATTTCACACTTGTATATAGGCCAATTTATCCTTATATTTTTGTTATATATTTATAAATAAAAAACTAAATAGAGCAAAGTTATTCTATATCGCACTTTAAATAATTAATACTTTAAATAATTTAATTTAATAAGCTATAAAATAATAATTAAAAAAAATATCAAGCATGTCTACATGGAAAAAACAAGATGACACTGAATGTCACCCCAGATTATACTCAATGATATCTATGGTGAAAAAAAATTTCAGATAGTAGCTAGTATAACAGATATTAGGATAGTCAAATATTGTTTTAAATACTATCTGAAATTTTTTTCATCATAGATATCACTGAGTATAATCTGGGATGATATCCAGTGTCATTTTGTTCTTTTCGTGTAGTTGATAATTTCCTTAGATCGATTGCCTTAAACTTAAATTAAATAGTTATAACTATAATTTATAATTAACAATAAAAATGTACAACGGACTTAATTACCTGTAATTTGTATAATTGATAATGTTTTTATAGATTAAAATAAAAATATAAATAAGATTACTTATAAGTTTAAAATAATTGATTAAACGTTAAAAAATAGAAAAATTATAAAATAATTTTTAAGTGCAATGGATATTAAAATATAAGATAAGACTGTTTACACAAGATATGATTTTTTTTTTTGTTTCAACAAATTTTGTCTCGCCGATCGCATGAAAAAATCGATATAAATATATATTAATAAAATACTTCAGATTTAAAAAAATGAGCCTTAATAATTGTAAACTTGTACAGAGTGATGTAAATTGTAATTGTCCTCAATTAAAATACTATATTATTATCCTTATTTATTTTATAGAAAAAAAAAAAGTTGATAGAAAATGTATATTGTGCGTTAATTATTAAGTTTAATTTTTAAGCAATTAAATTTATTTTTATTACTATCATTTTTTCATGTTATTATATAAGTTATAAGTTAATAATTATGCATGCTTATTTTATGTGGTAATGTACGAGGTAGACATTTGTTTCATGTTTACCATTATAATATCAATCATGCCATTAGGGTAGGCCATGAAAACTTGCCATCGTTTTTTTTTTGATTCATTATATTATATATGATTATAATTATTATTATTAGTTATAAATCATTAATAAAATATGTATTGGTTAAATTATTAAGTATATCTCTTAATTTTATTTGCAATATATATATTATTATACGTATAATTGCATTAAGTATGACTTTTAATAGTTTATAACTATAAATTATATTTAAGAATAATTATATCTATTTGAAAAAAAAAAAATAATACTGTAATAGTGTTTAATCTTCCATTGATGGATTGAAAATATAGAATTTATATCATCAATATTATCTTCTTTTATTTAATTAATAATTTTTTTTTTTATTATATTATTATTAAAATTTTTCAGGTTGAAAAATAATTTTAATTTTATGAAAGACGTTCTTTGAAAAATTCAAAATAATAAATGTTGAAATTTATTTTTTACAATCTGAAAATAAATTCAAACGTGATTTAAAGAAAAAAAATCAATGAATTGAAAATATTAAATTGTAAATTTCTAGTTGAATTATAAAAAAAAATATATATATAAATATATATATATATATATATATATATATATATATATATATATATAAGGGCATAAGCTTATTTAAAAATTGTGAAGCAGGTAAAAAAAGGAAATCTAAGAAATCTTTTCATCAAGTACTTTTATTTTCATTCTTGGCTGAAAGATCTAAAAAAGAATTGAATCTTCTATTCTGTATAATACATCTCAAGTAAATCAGCCAGTGGACCCCAACGCTGATACTTGCTATTACCAACCCACTCTTCTAAGAGATGAGTAGAGGTCCAGCTGTCTATGTTTGGTGTATTTTTCAGAACTACTCAGGTATACACCGAAAAGCTATTTAGATCCCGAGATCTATTCTGCCGTGAAAATACGATCCACTATTTTATGTCCTTGTTTATTAGTATCTATGTTTTTTTTATCATTATAAATGGAAGTTTACTTAAATTTAATGGGTGAAGCTGATAAAGAGTATCTGCTAGAAACTTGGACTAATGATCAATAAATTACAGTTTTATTGTTTCTAAGAATCCATCAGCTATTATCATTAGTAAATAAAGTAATACTAATAATGACAATAAATTTGATCATAACTTATTCATATTCATAGTTAAAGAATTTAATCTTCAATAACTAGATATCAAATTTGTTGTTTTTTTCTCATGACTAATTTTATCAAAGGTTTTTTTTTTTACTATTAGCAAAAGAAGTTGTTATTTATTTTTAAACTTTGAATAAATTTTTATTTTTATTAAAAATTTTTTTTGAATAAAATTAATCAAAATTGATTTTTATTGATATAAAACATTAATTAATTTTTTTTTGATTTTATACTTTTATCAGAAAAAAATTTTAAAAATGCATGTGGGTACTCAAATGAAAGGTCTTGATGAGTGTAACATAGGGATGAGCTTATATCTTTAAAAATGTCAATAGTTTAGGAGATAAAAGGTAATTTCTTAATTATGTATCTAGAGATAGAGCATTTTCGAATGCAGCCTAAATACTTATCATCATAAATTGTCTATCGGTGAGAATGATATGAAAGCTTGAAAAGGTACAACTCCAGGTCAAGATTTTATCATATAAATACACTGCCCACAAAATTTTTCTTATTCTCTTAATAATATAGATAAATAAAAAATGTGAAAAATATTTTATAAATTTTTTAATAAAGAATTTTAACAAATTATTATTATTATTATTATCTTGGCAATCTGCTTTATTGACAAAAGAAAAATAAACGTATGTATATATATTATATTATTTATAATGTTTACATATATACAGTATACATGAAAAATATGTAAATTTTTATAAAATAATAATTTCAATAAAATATATGGATGTAATTATGCATTAAGTACGCTGGAATGAATCGTCGAAAAAAAGAATACTAATAAATGTACGTGAACTTTTTATTTGGTTTCTTAACCAAGTCGTCGGTACTTTAAAATTAAATTTTCTAATTTAATAAAAATTGATTCTAACATTTAATCACGGTGTTACAAAAATATTTGTGGATTTTTCTATTAATTTGTCTGTTAAATTTTCAAATTAATTTGACATATTTTGTAATTGTAGCAGATGTCTACTTATAATTAATCTATTACATTTATATTTTGATTTAGACTATTTTTTACAATTCAATTCATTCATATTTATTTTTACAATTGGTGATTGATAATTTAAAAAAGCTGAGTTACAAAATCAAAATTTTCAAATAATGTGCATAAAATTTAATTTTTAGGCCAATTAATTTTTATTATTATAATAATTATTTTTATTAATACTTTTTAAGTATTTAACAAGTAAGTTAAAATTGGTGATCTAAAATTATGGTACAGTACAATTAACAATTTTATTGACTTATTCACGTCCTCGCAAGCTGCATAATTTGATATTTAATTACAGATCTAAGTACAGTGAGACCACAGTATAATGTTTGAGTTTTATTAAGTGAGCGACAACCTTTTAAAACAGCATTTATTCACAACCTCGGCTCGAACTTAGTATCGTTCAGTAAATTCAATATTTTCAAAAATACTATTGGTCTGATATTTTATTAATAACGACTTATTATTTATATTTAATACATGAGCAAATTAACGCGGTGATAATTTTAAAATTTAATAAAATTTCGTTGCCAATTTTTTAAATAATAATTTTATAAAAACTCAAATTTTCCACACATTTTAAAAATGGACGAAACATTAAACTAATTACAATTATAAATTTTAATAATTAATACTACTAAAATAATTAATTTTAATTTGGCTGAATAATTTTTTTTTTTAAATTTGGCTTAATTATAAATTATTTAATTAAAAAGAATTTTAAAAATTGCTTTTAAGTTCATGGCACTTTAAAATAATTAATTGACATGATTGATTCATAAATAAATGATGATAGTATATTAATACTTTGTGTATTTTCTTTTCAGATGGTTATTTCAATTATTTAAACTAAAGCAGTTGCATAAATTATAGTCCTTGATTAAATTATTCTCATACAAGATTGCCGCATTTTATGTGTGCTCTCTTGCTTTTTTAACTAGTAACTGAAACGATAAAAAATACATGATATATTAGTTAAATTTCACATATTAAGTTAGCATATTTAATATTAAAATATTTATATCACATATAAAAAATTATTACCGGTAATAATTAGGTTTAAAAGGTCCAGCTTTGTTTAGACCCATATATTTGGCCTGTTCATCGGTAAGTTCTGTTAAATGTGCGTCAAATGTTGGCAAATGTAATGATGCCACATACTCATCTGTAAATTAAAAAAAATCATTAATCAATATAATAATAACTATCAACCTTGCCGACACTATAAATAAATAAAATTTTGTTTTATTAAATAATGACTTGTTGAATTGGACTGTACTTGCTTAAATATTGACGATTTTAGAGATATAAGCTCATCCCGATGTTACACTCATCAAGAGCTTTCATTTGAGTACCAACATGCATTTTGATATATTTTTCATATATATATATATATATACACATATATATATACATATATATATAAATATATAAAATATATGAAAAATTGATGTGGGTACTCAAATGAAAGATCTTGATGAGTGTAACATCGAGATGAGCTTATATCTTTAAAAATATCAATAGTTCTCAACATACAAGGTCGTATCGTAATTATGTTAAATTGCACTGTACTTTCTTGAATATTGACATTTTTTAAGAAATAAGCTCATTCCAGTGTTACACTCATCAAGAGCTTTCATTTGAGTACCTACATGCATTTTGATATATTTTTCATATATACATATATATAATATATATAAACATATGAAAAATTGATGTGGGTACTCAAATGAGAGGTCTCGATGAGTGTAATGTCGGGGTGAGCTTATATCTTTAAAAATGTCAATAGTTCACAAGATACAATGTCATTTCTTAATTATTGACATTTTTTAAGATATAAACTCATTTCGATGTTATACTCGTCGAGACCTTTCATTTGAGTACCCACATGGCATTTTTTATATATTTTATATATATGGTATTTGTGAAATACATAAATATATAAAATATATGAAAAATTGATGTGGGTACTCAAATGAGAGGTCTCGATGAGTATAATGTCAGGATGAGCTTATATCTTTAAAAATGTTAATAGTTTACAAAATACAAGGTCATAATTATGTATCTAGAGATAGAGTATTTTTGAATGCAGCCTAAATACTTATCATAATAAATTGACTATCGGTGAGAATGATATGAAACCTTGAAAAGGTATAAATTCAAGTCACAACCTTTGCAATGACACTAAATTTCATTAAAAAAACCGATTTTATCATATGACTATCCTGGACACAAAATTTTTCTTATTCTCTTTCTTCATAATATAGATAATAATAATAATTACCCATTTTTTTAGGTAGTAAATAGACATCACTCTTATAACGTCCTGCGGGGGCATTAAATAGTTCAATAAGGGCTAAAGCCTGAGTGGCGGCGGTGATTGATACAACGAATGACGGAATACTGGAGCATGATAAATTAACTAATCGTCCTTGAGCTAAAAGCACGATACGTTTTCCATCTGGCCATATTACATGATCTACTTGCGAGCGGACTTTTTCCCAAGTTAAATCGGGTGTTCGTAAACTATTCTATTATAAAAATAAATTCATTATTATTATTTTGATTAGTCATGTAGAGAAAAATTACACAATTAGATTAATCAGTTAATGAATTGTTAAATAAAATAAAAAAGTAACGTACGACATCAATTTCAGTATTGCTATGACCCATATTACAAATAACACAACCATTTTTCATTTTATCCATGTGTTCACGTGTTACTACGTTTTTATTGCCAGTTGCCGTGATAACGATATCGACGTTTCTTATTACTTCGTTGAGTTTCATAACACGGAAACCATCCATGCTGAAATTGTACCATAAGAATATTTTAATGTTAAATATTAATCTTAATTAAATAAAATTTATTTACCTGGCCTGCAAAGCGCAGATCGGATCGATTTCAGTGATATAAACAATACAACCGAGACCTTTTAGAGCTTGACAACAGCCTTTGCCGACCTCCCCGTACCCGCAGATTACAACTTGTTTACCTCCGAACATAACATCCGTTGAACGCTTTAAACTGTCGATTATACTTTCGCGACAGCTGTAGAGATTGTCAAACTTTGTTTTTGTTACACTGTCATTAACATTCATCGCAGGAACTGAAAGTTTTCCTGCTTTTGACAACTGGTACAGTCTATGAACTCCGGTTACGCTCTCTTCAACGATTCCTGTAATAATATTAACATTAATAATAAATACTAGCAACCTTGCAGTCATTATGTGACTGCGGTGACTTGTGAACTATACATAAATAGAATTTTGCTTTATTAAATAATGAATTTTGTTAAATTACACTGTACTTTCTTAAATATTGACGTTTTTAAAGATATAAGCTCATCCTGATGATACACTCATCAAGAGCTTTCATTTGAGTACCCACATGCATTTTGATATATTTTTCATATATACATATATATATAAATATATGAAAAATTGATGTGGGTACTCAAATGAAAGGTCTTGATGAGTGTAACATCGGGATGAGCTTATATCTTTAAAAATATCAATAATTGACAAGATATCTGTTAAATTGCACTGTACATTCTTAACTATTGAAGTTTCTAAAAATATAAGCTCATCTCGATGATACACTTACCAAGAGCTTTCATTGGAGTATCCACATGAAGTTTTGATATATTTTTCATATATACATATATATATATATATAAATATATGAAAAATTGATGTGGGTACTCAAATGAAAGGTCTTGATGAGTGTAACATCGGGATGAGCTTATATCTTAAAAACTATCAATAATTCACAAGATATCTGTTAAATTGCACTTTACTTTCTTACCTATTGACATTTTAAAAGAAATAAGCTCATCCCGATGATACACTCATCAAAAGCTTTCATTTGAGCACCCACATGCATTTTAATATATTTTTCATATATACATATATGTAATATATATAAATATATGAAAAATTGATGTGGGTACTCAAATGAAAGGTCTTGATGAGTGAAACATCGGGATGAGCTTATATCTTTAAAAATGTCAATAGTTCACGAGCTACAAGGTCATTTCTTAACCCTTCGTTACTCGCGCTCGCGGGGATTCGCCGCACAACACTACTTAACCTAATAGAGTTGGCGTGAGTACGAGTGAGACACTAGAGAAAGCGCGAGTAACGGAAGGTTAATTATGTATCTGGAGACAGAGCATTTTCGAATGCAGCCTAAATACACTGGTCACATAATTTTGCTTATTTTTTTAATAATATAGATTAAATATTTATTTTATAATTTTTTAAAAGTAATTTTAATACCTTGAATAGATTTAAACATATTATTATATTTCTTGAGCATGAGATGAGTAGCATCTCCACCGTCGTCTAAAATCATATTGGCTGTCCAATTTTCAGCGCAGACACACTTGTCAATGCACCACCAAAAATCTTCCTCGGTCTCGCCTCGCCATGCAAAAATAGGATACCCTGCGTGAGCAAGAGCTGCTGCGACTTCATTTTGTGTTGAGTAAATATTACAAGCAGCCCATCGCACTTGTGCGCCTAATTCTACCAGTGTCTCGATCAAGACCGCTGTCTGTGCGTTTATGTGGGTACACCCGACAATCTTAGCATTTTTTAGAGGCTGAAAAAAAAAAAAAAAAAGATTGTAGGAAGAAATACCAGTATTTAATTGGGTATAATGAAGAATAATAAAATGAAATAATTACTCTATCTTCAGCAGCGCGTCGACGCAACGCCATTATTCCAGGCATCTCTTGCTCAGCAATTTCTATTTCACGCCTTCCAAATGCATACTGATTGATATTTCTCACACAAAAATCCGTAAATCCTTTCTCCGTTTTCTGAATTTTTTCCCGCGGTGAAACATCGTCTTCTCCAGATGAACTTCCTGTATAAGACGCTGAGATTTAAGCAAATTACAACAAAATGATTTTATTAGTTTCACTGCATGATCTAATTGCGAGTTGATTAATGACAATGTTATTGTTATTATATTATTTTTATTTAAATTTATTGAATGAAAAAAAAATTAATAATAAATTTATGACATGACTTTGTACTGTAAGCGACTATTGCATGTGCCGAATATTTTCAGTCAATAAATTCGTCTCTAACATCAAGGTACTAATAATTAAAAAAAAAATTTTTTCTTTATGTTAATAAATTATTAGTTTTCAGTGGAGTGCAAATTAAACAAAAATATTTAATAGTATGCCGTAATAAATTAATTAAAAAAAATTTATTTTATTTACTTCTATAAATTTTTTTTATAACATAATTATAAAAACAAAATTAATTTTTTAATGATATAATTATAAAAATAAAATTAATTTTTTACGGCCTACTTTTAAGGATTCACTAAACAGTGTTTAATTTTCTAATTATGTGAAAGTGATTAATTTACAAAAATTCTAAGCAAAAAAATTAAATTATTATTTTTAAATGTAAGAAATTTTACATCAGATGATCTTGAAAAATTTATATGAACCATTTTACCCCACCTACTTTTATAGTATTAAAAAAATGAATAGATTAATCAATTATTAACGTTACAATTAAATAAAAAATGTAATCTTACCAGAACTGTAGCTGTCATTACTGCTAGCTGACAAAGACCTGCTTCGGTACCGACTCGATTTTTTTAACGCTCCAGATTTGGATTCCTAGAAAAGAAAAAAGACAAAGTAATTTAAGCTTATTATTTGACAAATATTCAACAATAAAATTAATCATAAAAAAATTAGCTGTGACACAGGATTGCAATGATTAAAAACTACTAAAAATCAATGCGTATGAAACTATAAATATAATTTATTTATATTGGAAATTAATTATGATGTATTTATTAATTATCAATTATACCAATTAAATAAATAATTATAAATATTGGTATCTACGTGCTTTTTTACCAGGACAGTGATTAACAGTTGTATTAAAATAAATAAGCTTACCATTAAGACTTCGTGGGGTGAGTTTGATTAAATGATTAATGATTAATAAATGACATGAATAATTGTTGATTTATTTGTATTAAAATTACAATTATTTTACAAGTTCCCTAACAATTCATATCATTATATAAATTAATCATGCATCAAAGCATTGTTTTATAATTATTAATTAACATTTTAGTTAATAATTAATAAAATATAGAAATAAATAAAATATTGCATAAAAAAATTATCTCAAAATTTTCTTCAAAGAAAAAATAAAAAAAAATTTTTTTTCTTTGAAAAAAAAATTGATAAATTAAGAAAAAAAATGTGAAATATTAGTCGATTAATTTAATTAATTAAATTTAATAGTTGTTAATTAAAATCAGTTACCCATGCCGATAAAACGAAGACATGTAAAGACAATTGAAGTAATTGACAACACATTGTGTTTTAATAAAATTTTAAAATTCTTAATTTTAATTATAATTAGTATTTATATAAATATTTAATAATAATAAAATAATAATAATAAATATAAGGAACGAGCATACTCTATTTGCAAGGGAATAAAAAATTTATATAGATATATAAATAATTTACATATATATTTTCGATTAATACACAAATTTGCTGTATTTTCTTACTTACTAATTTTGTTCTCGGGCCGTGAAAGGCATTATTTGAAGCCTCTAGGCTCTGAAATCACAATAACCAACCATTTCATAATAGAACCGCTTTTTAATTCGATTTTATTTATTTTTTCTTTTATTATTCAATACATCACGTTTTTTTTTAATTTACTGTCCTTGTCCTTGGTATTAATTTTATTTCCAAACTCATAATACAAAATATAATTATAATTACAATAACAATAATAAAGAATAATAATAAAATTTATTAACTTGACCTCGTACAAGAAAGGATGCAAATTTTTAGTTAAAAGTTTACATTAGCCAAGATAGAATAGTAAAATTAGTTACTGCCGTAAATTTTTCTATATAAGAGAAATATTTATATTAATTATAAATTTATGACTTACTTTTTTTTTATTTTTTGTTAGCTAAAAAATTCCAATTAAAATTCTGTTAATTATTTTCATAGTTCGTAATGATAATAATGAATTTTATTTTCTGTGAAAATGAGACAAGTTTTCATGAAATTCGAATGTGCTGGTGTGTGCAGTAAATAATGATATTATATTTATGATTACGGGGAGGTATTATTACCACTTTTTCGACTGTATCAATTGTTTACATTATTTTTATATAGGTATATTTTTATCACGTTATTCATAACAGTTCGAGTAACTTGAGTCGTTTCAAGATTATTTATATTATGTCTTCTTAAAATGTGGATTATTATAATTATTATAACATAGTACCGCTTTGTTATTCATCCCGGTGGGTATTATTGTAATAATTTATTGTAATAATTTATTAATAAGTTCTATCTGAGATTTATGTAGACTTATATAATAAGTAAATACATATTTTATACTTGGTAATTGTTAAATTTCACGGTCGCGTTTTGGCAAAAAAAATCGAAAAATTAACATTTTTATTTTTTACAATAGATTTAAGAGAATAATCGTAAAAATTTGTAAGCATAAATTTTTCAATTAGGTTAAAGTTTTTTATATTAAAAAAAATTTTACCAAGTTTTAATATATTTTTGTCCGAATAAAAACAAACAATAAGGAAAAAAATGTTAATTTTTTTAAAAAACTTTTTTGATGAAAAATTGAAATTAAAAAAAAAAAAATTTATATTAAAATTAACATTTGAAAAAAAATTTTTAATTGAAAAATTTTTATTTTTTAAAAAGATTTTTTATTGAAAAATTTAAATTAAATAAAAAAGATATTTATTAAAAAATTAACATATAAAAAAAAAAGTTTAATTATAAAATTTTTATATTTTAAAAAGATTTTTTATTGAAAAAAAAAAATTATTAAAAACATTAAAAAAAAAAATTTCTATTCTATTTTTAATCAACTAAAAAAAAAAAATATTCTTGTAATATTTAATTAAATACAGTTATACAGCGACTTAATTCCGGCTAAAATAAAATCTCGCATCAATAAATTGACCCTTATTCATGAGAAATATAATGATTTTTTTCTCGGTATAAAAGTAACGCTCAGTAAAACTTTTTTCGCTTGAAAAATTTTCTCTTGATTCGTATACAATTAATTCTGAAACTAAATTTATCTCAATTAATTATCACATCTTCAAAAAATTCATTCACTAAAATAAATTCTTCATTAACTTACTCAGTTTTGATTAATAAAAATAACAAATTAATCTCTTGACATAAAAAATATTCCTACAATTATTTACATAGAAGTTTTTACACATAACTTGTAATTACTAAATTTTTAAAAAAAGTAAACAATTGATCCTTTGAAAATTATTGATCTACACTATGGCTATATAAATTTTCTTGTAACAAAAGGTAAACTTTATAATAAATGGGTAATTTTGATTTTAATTGGGTCTACTATGAATAAAATGCTCTATATGTCAAAATAAAAATAAAGCAACGTTAGGTAGTTATTATGTACCATATATACTTATTATTAAGTTTTAAAAATAAATACAAATAAATTAGAGCATGCATTGACATTCATGTTTACTATAAATGTCAGAAATAAACAATAAAATATAAAAATAGTCTTGCAACAATAATACCATTAAATAATAACAATAAAAAAATAATAAATTAAATACGCGTACAATAGAATAAATACTTATAAATATAATAGGTCTTCATATCTATATAAATATTCAATTAAACTCAATTAAAAAATTAGACAAATAAACATACACTGGTACTCAATAAAAAAAACATCTGTCAACTGTTTTAAATTCAAGATACATACAATTACGTAATAATCGCATGTGACAGCTTATTATTGCACTAGTTAAACATTATTTTTTATATTTTATAATTACATATAAATTATTTAATTTATAAAAAAAAAAAAAGTAAATAAATAACTATTAAATTTAGATATACTCAATATTATTACAGATTGTCAATAACCGCTTACATTAAAGTTGAGTGCTTTTTTTTTATCAATACTTAATTTCTTTTTATTATTTATAAAATATTGGTGAGTTCTTACCTTGATTGTTGATGCTGGATCAGTTATTGGACCATCAGACACATTTATTCTTGTATTTTTTCCAGAGGATGTATTGCTTGGACCATCCCCGTTGTCAGCCATTTTTGATACTCCGCGAAGAGTGAGCATTGTGAGAAGACACACGCTTATATACATACATATACTTACATCCTTAAATATATATATAGATGTGTGAAACTAATAAATATAAGCCGTCAGCTGGTTCCAATGACAAATTTATAATAATAAAGTTAGCTGACATTTTTAATTTTACTTTATATGAAAATTAATTTAGCAGATATTAAATAATTTTTTTTTTAGCAAATAAATTATGACAAAAAAAAAAAATAAGAAAAAAAATTGGCATGTAGAAATTTAAAAAAATGACAAATGCAATTTTTTGGAACAAATTAATTTAGCAGATATTTGATAATATAAATTATGGCAAAAAAAAAATTGACATGTAGAAATTTAAAAAAATTAAAAATGCTATTTTTTAAAAGTAATTTTTAGGAACAAATTTATTTGTTAAAAAAAAAATAATCAAGTGACTGCTAATTTTATAATGTCATTTACTTTATGGATTAAATTAGAATTAAAAAATGTTCTTTTAACAAGTAAAATAAATTTTTGTTACAAATAAATTATGACAAGAAAAGAATTATTAAAAAAATTGATATGTAGAAATAAAAAATGCAATTTTTTTTAAATACAATTAAAAAATTGTCAAGTGACGGCTAAGTTTAATGTCATTACAGTTTTTCAAATTTTCTACATGTCAATTTTTTTTTGTTTAATAATTTTTTTCAATAAAAAAATTATAAAAATTTTTAAATGTCAGCTAATTTAATTTTCATGACAAATTTGCAACGCTCCGAGAAATTTTTCAATTTAAGTTAAATTATTTTACTTGGATTTTTTTATCAGCTTAATCGACTGTCAGCGTAACCGTGAACGAGCAATTACATGAACATTGATTGAAATAATTATAGACTTATGTCAATATAAAATATTTTATTTACAAAATTAATTAAAATTAATATATGTATAAGGAATATTAAAGGTTTTTGTTAAATATAAAATATACAATGGTTATTTATGTACTTAAAAATTCTCTATTTATTGTGAGATGGATTTACAATAAACAGAAAAAAAATTACTGAGCAGCAGCGGTGGAGGGAGCTGCAGCAGCAGTTTGAGCTTGTTCTTCGCGAATGCGGTCTTTCTTGAGGAGACCCATGAAGGAAGCCTTGTCGGCGGCGGTCTGGAAGCGACCGTGACCGAATTTGGAGCTGGTGTCGATGAACTTGAGGTTGATCTTCTCAAGAGCAGCACGTTTGGTGTGTACCAACAGGGACTGTAAATAAAAATCATTATTAACAAACTGCTCACGTGTTGTTCAAAAAAATTTGATTTTTGTTGATTTATTTCTTCAGTCCTATCATTCAAGATCACAAATTTTTCATACAGATATTTTTTGGCTCTATCTGATATTCATCATAGAAAATATTTTTTACTTAGTTATTCAGTACATAAATAATTATTGAGATATTTACCTTACGAAGAGTGATGATACGTTTCTTGGGTCCCATGCAACAACCCTTGATCATGACAAAGTCGTTGTTGACTTCTCCGTAGTGAGGGAAACCTCCCATGGGTGTGATAGACTTCTCAGTCAGATCGTACTCAGTGGATGCATTATTTTTGACAATCTGTAATTTATTTAAATATTTATTAATTTATCAATTTTTGTTAATTAACTAAAAAATTAATTAATTATAATTTTATCAATTGGACTAGAGACCCAACTTGACCAATCAAGCTGAGTACTATGACACCAATTATTTAATCTAGCCCCATTTTAATTATAAAAATCAATGCTTCTCACTAAGAAGAAGAATCAACCTGTCTAGAGGCATAGTGATTTTAATTTGAATTAATTAATTTATAATAATAATTAACTACTGTAACTATTAACCCTGTTAATGGCTTAAGCTGTTGGGTTTGTTTATATAAATAAATAAATAATTGCTAATGAAATTACCTTTCCGTCTTTGGTGTGGATACCCTGTCCAATTCTGTAGATCTTTTTGTTCATTTCAGTACGGTGGTGGTATCCTTTCTGACCAGCACGAGCTACGGTGAAGGATACACGACTTGGATGCCATGCACCGATACAGGCTACTTTTCTCAAACCTTTGTGGGTTTTACGTGGCAATTTCTTTGTGTGCCAACGAGAAGTGACACCTGTAATAAAAAGAAAATTAAGAATTAATTAAATAAGTCCAAAAATTTTGTTAAAAATTACTTGATTAAAAATTGATAAATAAAATACGAATTATTATAGACTTCAGTAGGAAGGCAGCATGATTGTATCGTCAAAAAAATCAGATAATGCACATCATGTTTTTTCATCATTTAGTCTTATAATAAAACGTTTTTGAGATATATTTATTTTTTTGGAAAAATGAATTGATCATACCTTTGTATCCTTTTCCTTTGGTGACACCAATGCAGTCAATCATCTCATCAGGAGCGAAGACGTTGGTAATAGCCACGGGCTTTTCAAAGTGTTCTCTTGCCCATTGGACCTTTTGTTCGATGGTTCCACCGTTCAATTGAATTTCCATGATGTTGGCTTTCTTTTGACGTTGTCTCAGGAGTTTCATCTGTAAATTACAATCAATAATTAATTAATCAGTCACTTAAAATTTTTTAAATGTTAAAAAAAAAATGAAACTAATTAAAAATATTTACCTGAGTGTGAGCAATAACACGGATGACCTTGCAGTACTTGATCATCTTGCTGAAATCTTTTTCAATAGATTTGCGTCCCAAGTCGTCGGTCCATTTTTTGCTGGCCTTAGTGAAAGCCTTCTTCTTGCTCTTGTACCTAGGCAGAAAAAATGACAAACCGTCGTAACGTCGTCTGAAATAGTGACGATCTCATCGAGACGAGCGGAGATCGAACACTAATTTTGGAATAACCAAGAAACGAGACCGAGTCTCGTGGATAATTCCAATTATAATCCTCTCATCTTACGAGCGGAGAGCTGATGTTTTTTTTTTTTTAGATCAATTTTGTTCGATAATAAAATTGACTATTTTATTTACAAAAAAATCTACTCATTTTTTAAAATAATTACCAGTTCTTGTAGAAACGTCTGCGACAATCCTCTGAAAGATGCTCAGCCCACACAGTGGTAAGAGCACGAAGACCATGAGGAGTCTCAATGTATCCAACAACACCAACGATCATCATTGGTGGAGTTTCAAGGATGGTTACTGCCTCGACAATTTCCTTTTTGTTTACCTCTGTAAGTAGAGTAAATAATAATTAATAAGATTCATTTTATTCCAAGTTAACTTAATTATTTTATTAATAATAAACAGATTAATTAAGAAAAAATGTACTCGACATGGTGTTCTAATTTGTCCCTGTCCAATGGACTACAAAAAGATCAGAATAATGCCGTGCTACCGTACATTCCTATTGAAAATAGGCAACAGATTTTATTTCCGACATCGTGATTGGATTACTGTTACGGGCAAACAGGTCGGAATCACTATCTCTGGAAGAGGCTTCCAAGAGATAAAGACATCGGATTTTAAAAATAATTGGAAATTAGCAGACATTCAATTTTTTATCATTTTTTAATTATTTCTCATCATATTTCTGAGAAAATCAAAATTTTAGTCTGCTCATGAGTGTAAATGAAAAATAAATAAATTAGATAAAATTAAAAAATGCGGATCAAAATATGATACTAAAATTAGCAGACATTTAATAATTTCTAATTTTTTTGAATAAATAAAAATTATAAGTAAAAAAATATTTTTAAAAAATTGCACTTAGAATTTTTCAAATTTTCTACATCTCAAATTTTTGCTTTTCATTTTTTACAAATAATTTTTTTTTTCAAAAAAAAAAAAAATTATAGAAATTTCCAGATGAAAGCTAATTAAATTCTCTTAGAAAAAAAATTTACATTTTTTAAATTTCAATCTGGCTATTTATAAAATAAAATAAACTTGAAATTAAAAATTTCTATCAATAATTACATTCACACTCATTAAAATCAGCAAAATGCATCAGTGATTACTCCAACCACGTGGTTACATTTTTTTTTTTTCCAAGTTATGTAATAATTCTAATAAAAATTCTGCTAAAGAGACTGTACAAGCATGGTCTGCCCCAGTGGTCATTGCCCAATGGACTACCATGAGGCATATGGAATATGCTGTGCATCTACACGACCGCCGAAGCAGGGCAGATTTAATCTCCGACGCCGTGGCGACAAACATACCGCACGGGATCAAACGGCTCGTTGCCACTACTCTGAAGGACTAGTGAAACACCTATCCAACAGGAGTATAAGCGTCGGGTTTTTAAAATTAAAATAAATCCTGGTAAAATTATTGACTGATGCTTACTTGAACCAGGACGGTCAGCTTCGCGAACCACATGGGTCATACCGGCTTTGTAACCGATGAAAGCGGTCAAATGCACTGGTTTGCTCGGGTCATCTTTTGGAAAAGCCTTTACTTTACCACGGTGACGTTGGGATCTTTTTTTTGGGTAGAATCCCATGGACCCATGACGGGGTGCACTGAATTTACGGTGAGACTGAAATTATAAAAAAATTAATTAGTACATTGAAATTTAATAAAAAAAAAAAAAATAATAATTATTTATTTTTTTAATCAGACCGCCCTAGAATAATATCTTCAAGGTTGTTCAGTTTAAACCATAAACTTTTAGAATCTAAATCATCATATTTAATTTTTTTGGTTACACGCGTGGCATAAAGCCATTGCATGGTAGGAATTTTTAATTAAAAAATAAATCTTCAAATAGATTTAATCAAATAAATAATTATGTAATTATAAATAATTTAATTTATAAAAAATAATGGAGTAATTTTCAATGGGTATTTATTAATGATGTTAACAAAAAAAATAGATTTTGTAAAAAGATGCTTACCATGATGAAGTCCACGAGAAAATGAACGAGTAAAACAGAGTAAAAGGACTAGCTTCGCGGTGTGAGCTGAAATTATTTTCAGTGAGTAGATGTCGCTTTTTAATGCCAATTACCAACTTAAAAATAAATCACGTGGAGTACCAACTTGTAAATAAAATAAAATCATTGAGGAAGTCACTCATGTTCTCCTGGTGTTATTTTTCCTAATGATTAAAAAATAAATTGATATTTTTATTGAAAAAAAACTGAGCAATTGCAGAGAGCGCTTAGTAAAATAATTTTAATTTATAAATGCAATTTAATGATTCAAGCGGATAAAAAAAAATACTAAATATAGTAGAGATAAATTTAAAATAAAGTTAAATTGTGTAAAAATAATAAAAAATCATAAATTATATAAAATTCAATTGTATTTCTTTTATAATATAAAACATAAATTATAATTACAATCGGGTAGAAAAGTTTTAAAATTTATACACTAACTATTAATTAAAAAAATACATTCAAATATATAAGTTTTTTGGAGTAAATTATTTAACTATAAGAAAATTATACTTAGATTAATTATCATAAAAATTATCATTTATTCCTACGCGTTCTTAGAGAGCGCGTCGATGGAGTTGGCGATGGGGACGGTGCATTCTGTAAAATTTTTTTGTCAATTAATAAAAAATAATAACTTTTTATTTACTTGAAAAAATAAAAAAAAAATAACCTCAGGAGTCATTTCGATTGCTATTACTCCGTCTTCAACCGCGGTATATAATCTTCTTCCCCGAGTTTTTCTACCCGTTGACGGACACGCTTTAGCTGTTGTTTTACGAAGAGATCTCCTTAAATAATAATTAACAATTAAATAATTTAGTTAATTGAACAAATATAAAATTCATATTAAAGTTTTGCAAGTACATACGTTGATTCTGTCTCAGATATTTCATCGATAGTTACATTCGGAATGGGAGAAGTTGGTTCGAGTACTTTGCGCGCTCTCCTGCCTCGTCGTTCGGTAACAGACTCATCTTCAGAAGTTTCTTCTTTAGGAGGCTTGTTTTCTCTTAATTTATACTAAAAAAATTTATCATTGTCAAATGTCTGCTGATTTCAGTAACATAGTTATTAATAATTTTTAAAAAAAAAAAAAAAAAAAATACCTGAGATCGATCACTGGAAGGAGCCCGGAAGTCATCTCTAGGCGTGTTGTGGCCTTTGACTAGGAAAGTTTCCTGCATTTTCTTGACTTCTCTTTTCTGCTTTTCCAAGTCATCATCTTTACTTTTAACTAAATTTTCATACCTCTTAATCGTTTCTTCTTGATGCTTTTTAAAAGTTTCCAGCTCGTGTTCTTTACCTTCAATAGTCTTCTGATAATTAGCTTCAAGATTACTAAATTCATCCTTTTCTTCTTTGTACTTCTTAACCTCTTTTTTAAGCTCATCAATTACACGATCCATGTTATTAATTTTAGTCTGTAATTTTTTATTCAATTTATCAAGCTCAGACAACTTTTCTTTCGCTTCATCGCGCTCTTTAATCATCAACTTCAACTCCTTCTCAGTGACATCATTAGCTTGTAACTTAATCGAGTCTTTTATTTCTTTCTGAAGATCATTAATCTCTCTATCCTTCTCTCCCAGCGTCTTCTCCAATTCTTCAATCTTTCCCTCTAACTCCTTCTTAGCTTTCTCCAATTCTTGTTGCTTAGCAGACAATTCTTCCTTCAATTTATCCATAGCATTCGACTCCTCTTTCGACTTCTGCAGTACTTTATTTTTTTCACTAATTCGATTAATTTCTCCGTTCAACTCTTCAATTTGCCTTTCCAATTCTTTCTTAGCCTCCAGTTCCTTTTCAACTGAACTCGCCAGACGTTCTTTAACCTCCAAATCATTTTTAATAAAATCAATTTTATTCCTCGCTTCAGCCAATTCTTCTTCTTTCTTTTTAAGCTCGCTTTCACAAGCTTCTTTCAATTCCATCAATTTAACATTTTCTTCTCTAAGACCTTCAACACGCTGCTCGTATTCCTCCAACTTCCTCTCCAGCTCAGCCTTAACATTCTCCTTTTCATTCAATTCACTCGTAAATCTTACAACCTTCTTCTTGGCTTCCGACAGCTCTTTTTCAATATTACCAAGATCGCTCCTATAATAATCCCTAGAAGTTTTCAAAGATTCATTTTGCCCCTCCAGTTCCTCAATAGTCGCCTTTAATGTCTCAATCTCAGCCAAGTACTCTGAAATTTTCTTTTCATTAAACTCACTAGATTTTTCCACTACTTCCATTTTAACCAACCGATTCTTCACATTCTCCAACTCATCAGACAGTTCCGTCACACGTTCCAGTTCTTCTTTGTACTTGGCCTCCATTTCAAAGAATTTATTCCTCTCTTCCTCCAAAAGGCTTTCAATAACATCTACCCTGTCACTATCAATACTAAACGACGTCTGAAGAGATTTATGATCAACTGATTCAATAAAACTGGTCTGATTGCTCTGACTTGCAGTGCTCGGTGAAGTAGTCTGACTATTTCCATCACAAACTTCCTTAACCTCCTTCACATCATCCTTGCCAACCTTAACCGGGCTGGTCTGGGTAGCAACTTCCTCTTCAACAGAAGTATTTGGCTTAGCCATCGTGTACTCCATAATTTTATCCAACCGTTCTTTCAAATCATGACAATTATCCTCAGACTCCATCAGCTTACGCTCAAGTTCATCAATCATAACAATTTTATCCGCTACTTTTTCTTTCAACAAAACAATTTCATTTTCAGCAGCCTCTAATTTATCTTCCAGGTCACCAATAATTTCATTAGCATCAGAATTTCTTTCCTGAATTTCCAGGACAGTTTCTTTAGAGCTCTCCTTATACAATTGTTTCAAGTTTTCATGCTCCTCCTTAAGCTTCAGCAGTTTCTGGCTCTGACTATCAATAATCTCTTCATACTCTCTAAGAATAATTTCTTTCTGGCTCAGAGTATCTTCAGTATTGTGAAACTCTTGCCGTAAGTCACAGAGCTCTTCATCTTTATGCGCCAATTCAATCTCCAATTTATTAATCTGGCTATTTTTGCTATCAATTTCATTTCTCATTTCAATAAAGTCTTTTTTAGCCTCATTTAATGTATACTCATGAAGTTTCTTCTTCTTTTCGCAATCACTGAGCTGCTGTTTAAGTTCTTCTATGTAAGCTTCATTTTTTCCATTGACATGTGAATTTTCTAACGCCACAACAACGTTCATAGTTGTCTTAAGTTCTTCTTTAGCAAGACTGAGTTCATAAGTAGCTGAATTTTTCTGAACTAATATCTCATCTTTTTCCTTCAACGCTTGCTTCAATTTATCCTTCAGTTCATCAACTTTTGAATTAAGTTGCCGTACTTGTATTTCTAATTCACCTTTGCTTGTGTCCATGTCATCATCATCATCATCATCTTCATCATCATAATCTTCAGAGCGTTTCCTTTTATAGGATTTAACTGCCTGCAGTTTGTTTTGATAGAAAGTTTCAACTTTATCCAGCTCCCATTCATGAAGAGTCTGATGCTCGGCTTCTATATTACGCAACCTAGCTTGATGGTCTTCTTCCATCTTCTTGATAGTCGTCATGTAATATTTGCTGATTTCCTCACGCGTAGCCAGATCTTTTTTAAATGCTGCAGATTTTATCTGAGCAATTTCTTTGCGCAATTTTTCATTTTCTTCCAGCACTTGTTCGTAGTCTTCAGCTGGTACGTATCCCATGTCTTCAACGGAGGATTGATCATCAATACTTTCAAGGTCACATTCAGTAGGTGGCTCGTCCCAATCAGTGATAGTATTTTTAGTTTGTAAAACAAGATGCGAAAATCTGGTCTTTGACCTGCGAGTTTTCTTCAATTTTGGTTGGATGATTATTTTTTTGGCTATCGCAGCAAAATTTAGGACGTTTTGCGTCTCAACGTATAAATTTGGCGATGGGTTTACATTTACAATCAAGGCAATTGGTTCTTTGCCAGACAAAGCCGTCTGGAAGAGTCTGGTTAATTTTGACTCACGGAACGGTCCAATTACTTCACTACGCTGCTGCTTCACTGTCTGTACTTCGTAGATAGACTTTAAACAACGTCCCAAAACCATTAGACTCGTATTAATATTTTGCGCTTCTTTCAAACGATCTCCAATGTTTAGAGTTTTCTTCAATCGTTCAGAGCCAGCTAAATCGCAGAAAGTGAACCTGAAAAATAATTAATTAAATTATAAATTATAAAAGTATATAAAATTTTTTTTATTTAAAAAAAAAATAATTAATAATACTCACGTGCTCATCTCGACAGACTTAATATCATTTTCAGAAAAATATCGCAACAACCTGATAGTGAATATACAATGAGAACGTGAACTACGCGCATTCAATGCTGTAGCAGCTACTTTTAGATTATACTGTCCGGCCATCAAGACTTGGTAGGCTTCACAGCTAGAATTTACAAAAACTGACTTCAATCCTTTGATATAAGTCGCGCCTTGGTTGTCAGTCGCGAGTTTCAAAATTGGACGGCGTTTGGATGTATCATTGGACAGTAGGTCGTAAATGGTCTCATTATAAATTTCAGCAAACGAGACCCAGACTGCACAGTGAGCGTCTGTAGACTCGCGAGCTCGAAACTCTGGAACTTCTTTTTCAAGTACTTGTTGCATTTTTTTAAAAGCGTTTATATATTGATTTCGATCTGTTGATCCGTAGGTCAGCAGTTTGGTTTTGTTCTCTATTTCCAAGATCTTTTCAGATGAGGATAATTTAACCACTTCGCTGTGATTCAGTGGTTTGAAGTGAGGTGCTTCTTTTGGGTTGATGTTTGCAAATATGTGCTCTAGACTTCGAGGAATTAGGCCGGGTTCCATAGCAGTACCTTGGAGAGTAAATGATTTCCCGGAGTTTGTTGTACCTGTAATAATATTTATTTTTTTTATTTAAAAAGTTATTATAAAAAAATTTTTATTTGTAAAAAATTGTAAGTGCAAAAAAATATTTTTTTGTTCTAATTTAATTATTAAAAAAAAATTAAAAACGTCGGCAAACTTTAGTATTGTATACTAGCAACCTTGCAGTCACAATGTGACTGCCGTGACTTGTGAACTATAAATAAATAAAACTTTACATGATTAAATAATGACTTTTGTTAAATTGCACTGTACTTTCTTAACTATTGATGTTTTTAAAGATATAAGCTCATCCCGATATTACACTCATCAAAAGCTTTCATTTGAGTACCCACATGCATTTTTAATATATTTTTCATATATACATATATATAATATATATATATATATATATAAATATATGAAAAATTGATGTGGGTACTCAAATGAAAGGTCTTGATGA